GTAGGAGAGAAGAGTGTGAGAGAAAGCAAACTGGAAAAAGGACAAAGAAGAGAAAGAGAGAACAGTATTTAATTGTATTATATAACACTCATTGCTGTGTGCCAGACAGCAACTTCTTTCTCTCTTTCAAAGGAGAGTTTCGTGTTGTAAAAGCTCCAGGCATTTCTCAGCCTTGATGTAGGATGATACTCTGTCGCTGATTTGTATTACAAAATACTTACCCCTCCAAGATTGAAAACTCTACACTGTCTATTTTCTGGAAATCTTACATACAAAAGTTTAGTGAAATAAAACCGTAAAACTATAAAGATGGCAAGCCCTTGAGTATTTAAAAAAACAAACAGCAATGCATCCCTTGGCAGAAAAGAGAAATAGAGTCAGGGCTTTCAGGGACAAACGCACACAGTGAGGCAGGAACTGGGTGGAGAACCTGACAGCTAAGTCCTCCTCAGTCAAATGTAGACATGCTTGTCATAGGCCCAAAAAGGTAGGTGGCTCTAGGCAGCATCTATAATAATTTTTTCTGTGTGGTGTCCAGCCCAGGCAGATGAGGTAAAGTGTACATTTTGGGAACCTATGAGGATCTGCTGAAGAGTAACAGAATGATTAACATCTGCAGAGTGCTAGCCTAGACTGTGTTGCAGGTCAGTGGGTTCAAATGTATTTGTACTCAACACCATAAAAAAGGAAGTGTAGGCAACTACTCCTTAATTCAATAGTCTTAAATTATGGAGATTTATAATCTAACATCTTCAATAGCTGCCATATATCGTCATGTTGATCAGTAATAGTCCTTACAAATAAATATTTGATGGACAATGCCAGAACTTGAACCACATAGGTCAGCAAAAACAGGACTTTTAGCTTGTTGCTGTTAATACAAGCGTAGAAGATATGGTTATATACGAGTAAAAACAAGTCAAAGAAATGTATCTTTTTACATGGGCCCTATCCCTTGTAGAACTTCTTGCAAAGAAAAATGCAGACATTGTGTCAATGACGGTAGGAACATTAGCCAGCAGCGTGATTCTGCTAAAACTCACTGGGACCTGATATCAAATATGAATATCAAATATGAATACCTAAAAGGAACAAGACACTGGTATTAGAGCACAGCAGAAACCCATTCTGTAACATAAGAGAGTTTGTCTCCAAGCCTTGTGACACCGCCCCAAATTGTTTTCCAAACACAATGCACGGATTATAAAATCCCTTTCCCTTTTTTCACAGCGCCTTTTCCAAAAACAAAAGTCAGTAGAAGCAGCAGGAGCTTCTTACAATGTGCATGTAACCCAGTACCCCATAACCCTGTCTTGCCTTTGCTTCTTCTCATTATTGAAATGCTTGACATATATCTGAGCTGCTCAAAATGTGATCTCATTTTACCATAACAATCTGATACAATATGTGGTTTTATTGTTATGGAAAAGGCTGAGCTGCCTGCCTGTAGAAAGTTAGGTATTGAAATTCAAGCTGTAGTTATGCATCGGATGGATTTAGGATTTTCTTCCCAAACTGAGTTTTGTAGCAGGCTCCACTTGGACTAGAGCCTCAGTATTTTTCAAAAACAACTATTTTCCATTGAGGAATGCCCATCATTTTGTAGGTAATATTTTTTTTGAAATACTTTTACCGGTAATTGTTTTATCTGTTTTATCTTTAAGTTCACAGTGACCAACCAAACATGCTTCAAATCAGAATTGGTAATTTTCTTGACTGGACAAACATTTGAAATGCAATGATATTTTTAATGAATGTTCTGTACATGATGCATGTAGATCTTTCAATGGTGTAGCTTGGAAACCTGATTATGTGCATGGCAAAACATGAACTCCCTCTGCAATCGTGAAATGCTGTGCCTCTCATAATCCCATGTGGTATGTTCCCACTTAACTAGTAATTGTATTTTTTCTTCACATATTTAATAGAACAACATGGCAGCAGGGCTCTTAATGTCTTCCTTGTGCTTGGAGCACAACCCTAGTGTTGAGTGCAAGGAGAAGTGCACACAATTAACTAATATAATTCACAGATGTGTTCACTGAGGCTTTCTTTTCTTTCTCTCAGTCATTTCAGCATTGCACAGCAAGCTGAGCCACCTGAGAGTCTGGACACGCTCTCACCCCGCTGTGACCTACTGGCACATACATTTCAGATGACGTAGTAATTAAAATACACTAATTTGATAATAATACAATAACAGCAGCACCCTAGGGCTAATTTAAAAAAAACATTTTCCCAGACCGGCAGTAAAGCATATGTAATGCCCCATTGAAAATACAGTAGCCTGTTAGGTTTCTTTGTGAGGTCTCAGGGGTATTTCAGGGTGCTGATTTCATACCACAATCATTAAAATCTTAGCTCCTTTTTGGCTGAGAGCGCCTGACTGGCGACGGCGCCTGCAAATTATATTGGATCTCCAAGGTGTAAACATGATGAATATCTGAGGCTGTTTTACAAAGGGTTAAGGTTGAAGCTCCTCCACAGATCAAGGCACATTGACGATTCAAGAATGAACTTTCTATTATTTTAACTGGACTGTAAAGTTCATAGGGCATGTATAAAAGGGGAGAAATGATTAAGTCTGCTGACCTAGATTTAAGTCATATTTTGTGACATTAACCTTTCCTTAAGGCTTCACAAAGAGAGCAACAGGGACCAATTGGAGAAAAAATGAATGACTAGATTCAAAAAGTTTGCTGGATACATTTAAACCAAGCATGTCTCCAACAAACTAGAAAATAGATTTGTTTTTAAGTGTTCAGTTCAGTTCATGGTATTTAATACTGGTTTGAAGTATGGATAAAACTGCTAAAGTGAGTAATGGCATATTAATGACCCAGCAGAGTTAGTTGAAGACTTGTAATGCCCGTAATACAGTCACAGCAGTCAAATGCTCCAACATGCAAACCAAAAGGGGACGTTTTTGCACATTATTATCCAGCTATGTTAATCAGAAAAACCCTCATGCTTGTGACCTGATCCCAACTGTCCATCAACGATGAATATCATTAAATGTGAGCCACCACAGTAATTTTGCCCCTAATTCTTCCTCATCAAGAGACAAAAACAAAAACAATTGGCCCCTTTGTATCCTTCCTTTTGTACCCTTGGCATGGTGGCTTTGAAGCCGGAGTGGAAGTGAAAGTGATTGAACTTGCTCAGTGAAGCTTGTTCTACAGTACAAGTTGCGCAAATCATGCATCATGACCCATTTGTGGGTGTTTATTAACCCCATGTACAGTATTTCCACATTTTGGGTTTGCTAATGAGCAGCACACATGTCTAGATTTGCATGTAAGCATCACCTTAGGGCTGGTTTTCAGTCTGTCAACATGACAATTATTTGATGATAGATTAATCATTATGCCACTGAGATAAAGTAAACACATAGGGGGCTTTCTAGGGTAATATCCGGGAACCTGGCAGTCTATAGGCCCTGACACACCAAACCAACATCACAAACAAGCCTAATTGTGCATGCAGCTAGGCCAACAAGACGCATTTGAACCAAACACACAGCAAAAACAAGAACATTATGGCCAACAATCACGTTGCCTTCTCTCTGCAGCATGAGAGGAAATGCGGCATGGGCAGGGAAAAATGTAAACCAGAAAACAGATACACACAAGCCATTGTTACAGACATTTAAAAAAAGTGACATTTAACCATGTTCACACCACTTAACTTGAATCAAGACAGCCATGAAGACGTGCACCTTTTCGATTATTAAAATTATCATGAGATGAATATTTTAAAACAGGAAAAGCCTCCGTGGGCCTTTCTCATTTCACAAATTTCCCCTCCTCGACTCCTATCCTCGTGTCTTAGTCCCGCCCACAGGAGATGCGAGCGGAGGAGCCGAGGAGTCGAGGAAGGGAAATTAGAGAAATAAGAAAGGCCCCGTGCCTCATGACTTGAGTTGTTTGTTTTCCTCTCGTCCATTTCCCTTCCCCTTCGCTGATTGGCTTAAGGTGAGCAGCCAATCATTGATTTATTTTGCCGTGGAAGGTCCCGACTCACGCTCATCGACGCATCCAACTCGACCACGTCGGTTAATCGACTTCAGGGCCTTAGCGAATATCGTATTTACTGACTGCAGACTACTAGAGGGTGGTCGCTGGCATGGTTTACTTTCGCAGGCGCATGCTTCCATTTGTCATTGTTATGCTAAACACTGCTTTGGTATAGAGGAAATTGAATTAAGAAGCCATCCAGCAGCAGGCTTGCCCTTATCACTTCCATCAGCCTGATCAGAAACACATTGAGCTGCCACCAACAGAGGGTCAGAAAGTCACGTAACCTTGGGCATGCAGCCATTTCCTGAGCACTCCATCATGAAAAGACTCTGTTGGCTTTTGGTAGTGATGTAACATGTAAATAAAGAGTCATTTACTTGTGAGCTACAGTAGGCTAGTAATGCTGTTGAGAATGTTCTGTAAAACATTCTCTGTACAACTGTAGACATACACATGGAATTATATAGGGGCCAGCAACAGAACAGCAGATCATGGATATCTCAAAACCATGTAAAGTAAAACAGAAAAGTTCTCTATGGGCAGATACTGAGATAACTGAGAAAATATGTTACGTTTTTTTTGTTATTTGTTGTGCCCTTTAAGCTGATGGCAACATGACACACACAAAAACAATTGAATCTGCTTATTCCCATAAATGATGTTAGTCTCACAGGAGGTAAATCTAAGCACGATATCCACATTTCATCAGTGTTCTTGTTGCTAAACCCCTGCTGAGCAAAGTATTCTACTTTCAAACTCCACCATGACTACAGGATGTAAGACCAATTTATAGTCGAGTCAGGAAATAATTCTGTCTACAATGGCAGATGGAAACATTTACAACCCACCAAAATGCTGCCGTAACGTATTGGCAAAGTAATACTGTACTAGTAGGCAACCAGCATAATGCGAGTAAAATGCCATATTTAAAACATGTATATCATGTGATTGTATCATCTCATAACACACAACTAAAGCATGCAGAAGGTGGAATCATTTATTATAAGCAGTATCTTTTACCATGCACACATATCAGGAATAACAAAATAGGAATGTAAGACAGTAAGAGTATATTGTATTCTGTAAATATGCTGAACATAACATAAAAACAGTTATGTGAAGAAAAGGTCATTAACCTTAAGGAAACTTTTGCTATAAATGAATTAAAAAAAGTGGAAGAAAGGCAAAATACAACTTCTAGGAACATCAAAATAACATGAATGAAGAGTGATAAAAAAGGATGGAAATTACAATACAATTGGTTTAAGCAAAGTGAAAATATATATTATACTGAACTTCCAGTACAGTTACTCAAGTCAAAGTGATTTTCAGAACCCAGAGGTATTCCACATGTTGTTCCTGAGAAGAATTTAGATTGTTCTCTGCCTCTTAGGGACAGACATGTTCACAACTAAAGTGCAAGAAAGAAGACTTTAAACTGTATGGAAACTGTCAACATGTTGGCGGTTAGAAAAATAGAAGACAATAAATACATCTTCAAGGATCACATCTTCATACAGCTGAGCTGTAAATGTGAACTGCACACTTTTTAATCTTTATGATATTTATATTTTGAGTCATTATGAATCTTAACAGCAGTGCTCTAAAAAAGGCACATCAGCTCTGCATATATTTGTGTAAAATAAAACACTGACTTCAATTCTGTGGAATCATCATGATTGTAAACTTCAAGTTTAGGGATTTGATAGTATCACACAATGAAGGCATACAAAAAATCATCCCTTTCATCACATTCTCATTGTCGCTGGCCGCGCTCCTGCTTGAAGGCCACGATGAACTTCCAGGCTTCAACATACTGGGACAGACAGATCTCCCCCGGGAATAGCTCCTCCACATCAGGGGGGGTGTCCAGGTCTTTGCGCTCCATGTAAGACACCAGTGTGTCTTTCAGGCTTTTAAAAGACAAACATATCATTTATACATGTGAACTGACGTCACACTAACGTACACACACCTAAATATAAATTCTCCAGTCTATATAATTTGTTTTCATTCATTTTTTCCCCTAAATTAAATAAATAATATGTTTTTTTCACACTTGATTTAAGACTTAAGGTACATTTTGAAAGTTTGTGATCCATATAACATTAAGTGAATAGCTATGTTACACAATTGTGCAGTTTATACTTAGTCATAGTATATCAACTTTACAGTATGGTTCCATTGGACAATATTGCAATACTAAAATGTAAAAAGTTGTAATATATAGAACCAAGTCTAACCAAAGTGAACTTCATGTTTGTTAGTGTGTGCAACATGTTCAATTCAGTCAAGGCGTCTCAAAGTGGGAGTATGAAACCATCCACTTTGTTTTAGCTGATGGGTTTCCCCTCTTATCTCTATCTTTCATCCTGAATGAACCAGCCTCTATTTAAGACATACTTTTAAGAAAAGATAGACATGTGCAAATCATACGTCATTTCACAAAAACCTTTAGTTTTTACCTCCAGTCAGGCCTGTAGGTTTCAGGTGCATTGGACTTTTTAAGAACAAGCACCAGGAACTCGTGCATCTCCAGCAGGAAACTGTCAGCGCTGCTCTTAGAGAAGAAGCCGATGAGCAGCCTGTGCTCCTCCTCGCTCAGGGCCTGTTTGTACTTCACTGAGACTTCCACAAATGGATCCTGAAGAAGACAGAGAAAGCATTTATGATTTTAATTTTTTTTAATGAATAATTAAACCATTTCCACCTGTGTGTTTGTATACTGATGTCTTACCCTCTTGAGCCGTAGCATATTTTCTGATTTGAGTGAGGCCAGCAGCTGCCACAGAGCCACACAATGCTTAAGACAGCACATGCTCAGGGCCTGTAAGCAAAACAGGGAGACCATTAAGTAAGATCTCATAAATCAGTTCATTTTCATCCAACAAAAAAAACAAGAAAAGTAGCTCTTTGGGGCAGATTTGGCAAATTCTAAGGGTTATGTACATCGTTAAAGAAATATCTGTTGTAGCGGGAGAACATGCAACAGGATAAAATGATCAGTGTCCCAGATAGGCTGACCTTGAAGATATGTGGAGCCATCTGGTTCCCCATCTGCAGCACCTCCTCCAGGTAGCAGGACAGCTGCATGAGAGGCTCTCCCCCAGTCGTGGCGAGGAAACCGAGGGCCACTTCCAGTGTGGACAAGGCCTCACACACTTCACTGTAGGAGTGCAGCTCCCCAGCCATGGCAGACAGGGTGAGAGTCTGAAGAGGCTCCTGTTGGCACACAGTTACAGGTCGTATCAACTCATGAGGACATTATTTACAACAGTAGTGCTTAAGTGTGGGCTTTAATGTGTACTGTAAGATGCAAGCATTTTTATTCTAAATATTGTGTGCATGACTTTTATATTATAGTGTTCTGTTTTGTTTTGTCTATTTGCTGTATCATTGTAAATGTCCCCTCTGTGGGATGATAAAGGAATTCTGATTCTAATTCTGATGACAAGTAGGGTGCAGGTAACCGAGGGGAAAATTGGATGCAGAAATAATGTATGGACCCTGGAATCTTTTTCAAAACAGAAACATGTTTTTTTTTTGTTCAGAAAGTCTGGTTTACAGAGTGATCAGATGACAGTAATCAGAAAATATGATGAAGCATATCCTGAGCCAACAGGTTTTATATACCATATGTGGAAAATGAATGATAGTTGTAGTACTTACTTGCTGGACTTTTGCTTTTACATCCTTCAGGATGACCTCGTAGTTGCGGTCATGTCTGGTCACCAGTGTTGGAATGCCCTGTGGGAAAAGGGCACAAGGATTGTTGTATATTAACACATTTCCCAACAAAATTATGTGACTTTCTAGTGCTTTCCTTTACTACTCACATTGAGAGTGATTAGAGGTTTGCCCAACAGGTAGCGGGAGATTATCTGTTGCTGGATCTTGGGCAAGTCGTACTCATGAAGAGTCTCCTGGCCTTTCTCTATGCTGTACTGGGTGTTGGACAGAACCAGGGGCATCAGGTCTCTGTCCAGCTCGTACCGAATTACGTGCAGTTCAGTCAAATCGGCAGGACTCACTTTGTAGCTGGGTAGAGGGAGAAAAAAGGCCAGTCAGACAGTACCTGTGCAGCTTGTGCTTAAAGTATTATGTGACTATATCTGCAAACATGTTTTGTTTTGTAGTTATGTTTCAATCCTTGTATTGGTCTCTCAGTGAAGCCAACACTTTAATGTAGTGTATATGTTTGAGGCAGAAGTTAAACCGAAAAATGTGGCATGAGCGCCCCCACCTGGTCTCCTCTCCAGTGTGCTTATCCACACAGTATACCAGGTCATTATGCAGGGCGATGAGGTAGCTGACAAGAGCTGTGGAGCACAGGCCTGGGCCTTGTCGTCGTGGTAACAGCACCTTTAAGTCACTGTTGTGGTCCAGGTCATTCTGGCAGAACTCTGCTGGGATCTTGATTTCACCTGAACGACAACATTTCAATTTAGGTAGGATCATCATGTTGGACGGACCAGTGTCAGTGTATCAAACTGTTTGTATTTACCATTAGTGGCCAAAGACACTCTGAGCTGATTCCAGGTTGTTAGGAAGATTTTGATGTATTTATCATACCAGGTTTTCAGCGAAACTGCACACATGAAAAAAAAAAGACATAATTGTAATCCCAAGTGTAAACATATCTTTGTGTCCTCTGAATATTTTGCATGTTCTCCACAATGCTACTCTGCTAACTGCACAGCTCTTCCATTTCCATCAGAAATCTGATATACTGCTTGTATCTTTTCACAGAACAGATGTTCTTGTTAATTTATAATATTTTTTGTAAGTTTTTACTATAATTGCTTTTATTTTACAACTTTATTTCTGTGTTTATTAGAAACCAAAGCAAATGTCTCTTATGTGTGAACCTACTTGGCATGAAACGTGTTTCTGATTAAGTCGAGACATGACCCGCAGTACAGAGGATTGACTATAGCATATTAAAACCTCTCATGCGTCTAACAGCTCTTTGTCTCCTTCCTGGTTAAAACAACTCATTCCTTGACAGGCAGGTTTTTGAACTGTACACCGCCAGCTCCTTTGCTATGCCATTTCCGAGAAAGAAGTAAGTAGGAACTATGTGTAACTCTTAGCAAGTGAGTCATACTTGACAAAGTTGAGAATCACTGGCATAGGCAGCTAGTTTCAGTACCTGCTTTCTGACTGTGGAGGAACTCCGTAATGGTGCCACAAGTCAGCTCAGTGATGTTTTGAAACTTCTTGACCAGATCTCTCTGGAGTGTGAGGATATCAGGAAGGTGCTTCACTAGTCTGAGCTCTGCTTCCTAAACAAAAAAAAGAATGGATGTGTTCAGATAATCGCTTGTAAAATTATGTTTAAGATCTGGTTAAGTATGTGAATATTAAAGAAGCCACAAATTAGGAAAATGTGTTGTGTGTAAGCCGGTCTTGCCCCATCAGTATCCTTACATTAATATTTGTATTTATCAGCACAGATATTGTGGCATACAAAATGATGTTCCATTTCTGGCCATTAACAATGAAGTCAGAGGTCTTTCAACAAAAATACAATTATATAGATATATAATGGTAAAACATTATTTGTAATTCTGCACATTGTGTCTTTTAGTGTGGGTACTGCACAAATAGGGGCAAACGTTTGCTCTTTAATGTAATGCAAGCAGTATTTAATTATTGTGGTTGCCATAACACCCAGTCTCTTACTGTAGATACATTGCATACATTTCTTTTGTACAGTTCCTGACAAAGCTTTTTGAAATCTAGTCATTGTTTCCTTACCCTATGCAGAAATCTCCAGAGCACCGGCAGCATGTCTTTGCCATCATTCTGCTCCACAATGTGAGTGAGGCTCAGCAGAGACACTTTCTCCCGGCAGCTCCACACCGCAGAGCTGTGGATCAGAGAGTTCTGGGGAAGTGAGGTCAAGAAGAGGCTGGGATTTCCAAACATTAGTTTCATGATTGGATTGGCCGAGACGCGAGAATCAGCCTGGAGGAATTTGTTCACTTCCTTAAGCCGTCTATCCAAGTTCTGTGGAGAAGAGAATGACATGGAATTTAAAAAAAATCCTGGAATGTAATAATGCGTATTATTTGTTCAAATGTAGAAGAAATACATTATTTCTACCTTCAGCTGAGGTGTGATGATGGTGTTGCTCACTTCCATCTCCCATCCATTTCTAGCGTCTTTGGTGGAGAACAGATTGTCAAAAGGAGCAGGCCCTGAAAGGAAAGACCTGCTGTGTTAAATAGTAGAAGGTAATCCAGTAAATTGATTGTGTCATTTTTTTTTAAAAGGGCCAAAATGTAACTTAGTAGGACAGGTAAAAAAAATGTGCCCATCATTTAAAGCTGTCTTAAGTTTCTATACTAAGATACACTGACATCGCATCAACAAGCTAGAATTAGCACTGCAAATACCAATCTGGATTTACACGTCATATTTTTTTGGAGTGATTTAAAAGTACTTGATTTTAATGTGACACCTTCACAATATCCCTTAAGTTGCAAAATGTACAAAAAACTTCTGACCACTAGAGGGCACCCCTCTTTTTCCTATTTTCTGTCACTGTCCTGCAGCTTGCAAATGAACAATATAACAAGATAAGAGTAAGGCTTAAGAGCAATAAACTAACTACCGTTAGAATAGAAATGAAAACAGTGAGAAAGCTGCTCTAAAGTGGCAGACTGATATTCGGATATTGATAGATGTTGGTATCATTATGTATCTCAAAACATTCTCAAAGCGTGTGACTTGTTTTACAGGTTTGTTGTTCCTTACATGTTTGTTGTTGTTGTGGTTCCATGAGGCTGCTGATGAGCAGGTGAACAGTGCTGACTGTGTCATCCGTCCCTTTACCCAGAGATCTGATGAGATGTGTCAAGTCCTTTTGCAGGTGAGCAAGTATAAATGCAGCTGGGTCATGGACTGGTGGCTTGATGATGGCCGAGATAGACTAGAAACACAAATACAGTGGATGACTGACCAGACTCCATTCCCTTAAATGCTAACAGCGCAGTTCTATAACACATACATGATGGGGTTTGTATGGTTTGTGAGCATTTTTCCTGGAGATTCTCCAAACAATCAAGAATAATTTGCAGGAAGAGAGGGTGTCCATGATAACTTTCCAGTACCTGTGGGCAGCTGTGGGCACCCAGTAGCATGGCCATGTGATTGAGCATGCGGGCCATGGTGAAGGGAACCGGGGACATGCTCTTTGTGTCCAACATGTCTGGATTGTCCCTGCGTCTGTGGTCACCGAGGATGTGACCTGTCTGAGTGCGGTCACCTCTGTGAGAGGAAGATAAATAGAAATTAAAACAAAACATACACCAAGTGACTGTTTATATTAGATTTGTGGCTCGAATTATATCACAGAACACTCACTGCAACTGAACAACTCTAAATCCCGTCACAGGAATGTGGTTGTCTCCTCCTATTTTAACACCACAGTCCGGACAAAAACTTGTTTGCATGGGCTGGCCGCACTGGAGAAAAAAAAAGACGCAAGAACGTATTTTTCAACGTATGAAAAGCATACTCCAAAAAAGAGACTCAACTAGATTGCAAAGTTTTTATGATTCAGACAGAACATAACATACCTCTCCAATGGTGCATGGGTGACCATTTGGACAATCTATGGTAAGAGTAAATACAAAATTACTTTTCAATGATATTTCAAATGTGAGTGTCATTTTGTCTGTGACTTACGGTACCACTGCACCGGCCCCATAGCTTGTTGAGCCACTGCTAACATGTCCTCAGGCATAGTTGGCAAGAAGGCTGCCTGTAACAAAACATACAAATATGAGATGGGCTTCAAAGAAGACAAAGCCAATACTGGAAGCTGTTGACAATATTCATACCTGCATGTTGGCAGGCGTCATGGCCAGCTGCTGCAGGGGGGCCAAGATCCCCTGGTTACTGATGAGCAAGACAGCTGCCAGGTGAATGGTTAAGTCCGTCAGAACACACTTTGCACCAGAAGCCCCGGGACAAACAACCAATGGCCCCACCTGGTTGGTCACCAGAGCTTTGGCAAAGGCCTTTACCTGTGGGCTGGCAAGGACTTTGGAGTCCTGGATGTAGGCCATTAGGGCTTCCAATTGCTGCAGGTAAAATAGATTCATTAATATATATATAGATGTGTAGTTTACTGACAAAGACAGGAAATAGTCCAGTTAAGAAAAGCGTGGGTAACCGTTCCCAAATTACATAAACAAATAGTTATATCAGAGGGTGTGAAGATCTACCTTGGGCTTGGGGTGGAAGCTAGCATTGGCTTCTCTGTAGAGAGTGGTGACTTCCCTGTACAACGCCAACAGAAGATTAACTGTTTTACCCTGTGGTGAGCATCTGCACCCCTATAAAGAAAAAGAGCAACAAGATATCCATGTAAACTCACAATCAAAAGCAGAGTCCTAACCAAATGCTCAGTTACCAACAAGTAAGTGATGTAACGTTACCTCACAAATCTTGTCCAGTCCGTCCACTTTGCAGTCCATTATTCCATTTGCAACAGCATCCCTGATGATCTTGTAGTCGTCGCCACACACAAGAAACTGGTCTATTGGGGTGGCTTCTTCACTCTGGGTGTAACGTAAATGAATCCACACTATTTAGTTTCAGCTTTGCAATACAACATTGCTTTTATCTGGGTACTAACACTTAAAAATCACAATGTTGAACCTTTTGCAGCACTTCCACGGGGAAGAGCCAGCGCATGTCGTCCACTTTGAGTTGTTTCAGGACAAACTCCACTCCATGTTGGCTGCAGATCTTACGGATCAAGTAGACTCGATACCAGTCGTTTCCACTGCGCCTACACAAGGTCACCACACTGGCCAGGAAGGCTGCGGTTCCACTTTGACCATTATCCTTAGCCTCTGCTTTGACAAAAACAAGAATGACATTTTGTTAAACTGCACGCATTCTAAAACACACACAAATCACAAATTGTGCAGTATGTGTCTAACTAATACAATATGTCATTTAAATTACGCACCAGGGTTTCTGAGTTTTTCCATAATGAGGGTTGCAGCCATATCCAGGTCCATACGCACTCTGGCCATTTGCTGCAGATACTCCACAGTGGCTTTTTCAGCAGACTGGTCATGTGATTGCAGGTAGTCAGTCAGGAAGGCACTTTCATCCTTCAGACACCGCTGTTGGTCTGCAATGGACCTGAACTGCAACCTTTCAAACATGGAATCCTAAAGAAATGAAAAGAGACACTACTATTCACATGTGTGATAAGCACATTTGCATTTAATTTACTGATGCGGACAGGCTTTATTTGAAATATACAGCAGACCAAGAATTCTTGAGTACCTCCAGGCAGTTCAAGTACAACGAGTAGAGTTCAGTTTTGTCCGACTCCTCCAAGATGTTGCTCTGCTCAACTGCCACCAGATGCTGCTGCAGGTAACCTTTAACTTCATCGAAGCTTCAGAAAAAGGACAATTCAGACAAAGATTATAAACAACGCAAACAATCTTAGAATTGTACATACATTAAGTAGGCTTTATGCAATGTGCCACAACATCACCTCACCTGTACTTCATCAGAAGTTTGAGCACCACTGACCGAACCACTGGATTCTTATCCACAGAGTCATCAAACGGAGAGAGCACCTTTGTCAGAATTTGCCGATTGACTGGAGAGAAAACAGTATAGTCAGAGCTGATGAAGCATGTATAGGCAAAGACATGGTTGTGGACACGAGGGTCCTGCCTGGGCCGCCTGATAGCTTAGTGGTTAGAGCTGGCGGCCCATATTAGGAGACCGCTGCCAATCAAGACGGTTCGAGTCCCGAGCTATTTCCCCCTTACACTCTATACAGTATCTCAAATAAAGGCACTCTCTGGCCCAAAAAATATCTTTAAAATAAATAAAAACAACAAGTGTCTTACCTCCGAGAATTGTAACATGGTTGGCCTCCACCATGAGAAAGGACAGCAAATGACGAATGACAGCTGAACAGGGGGGAGAGTTGTCTTTGAAGCACACGGTGGACACCAGGTCAATGAAGAAAGCATTGCACTGCTTCCTGAACTGAGCATGTTGTTTGATAAGAATCCTGCAGAAAATAAGAGACGCAATAGTTTAACAGTTTTGAGATCAAATTCACTACATGCCAGATTCACAAAGCATGAAGCTTCTAATAACAGTACAGTTCATCAAAGGAGTAACCAACCTTATGGCATCTGAAGGAACCATGAGGAAGTCGTCGTTAACTGCCTGCATGCAGAGGGGACAGTACATCTGACCGGGAACCAACCACTGTCTGATACAGGCTAAACAGTAGATGTGTTCACATGGCAGGCAGACCGGATCTTGGGCGTCTCCCATACACACTGGGCACAGCGTAAGACCAAACCTGAAACAAAAAAAAATTAGGTGAAGACATCAGGTGGAGGCGAAGAACAGTAGGGGTGATTCCGATGAAATGCAGACAGTGAAATCTGAGTTTTTACCTGAAGATGCATTCAATGGCTCCATCTTTGCAGTTCTTGAGCAAACTGATTACTGCCTCAAAGGACTCCTGAGTTTTGAGGTCTGCATTCTTTTCCAGAATCTATGAGAAAGGAAACATAATACTTTGTCTATAAACAGAGGAATGACTGTGGTTTATGGCAATTCAATTAATTGGTGTTATTAAAATTCTTAAAAATATAAAAGAACAGGTATCAACCTGGCAAAGCCCTTTTGTATGCTTCAAAAGCAGAGGTGTCAGCTTCTGCTCTACCAGCTCAATGCCCAACAACATATGTTCCACAAACAGAGAGAGAGAGAATATCCGATTCCATCCAGCTCTAAGAATAAAGAAAAAGAAACGAGCAATCTTAATGTAGCTGAAGCACTTTCTACTGGTAAATGTTGGATATAAAATTGTATTAAGCTTGACTTACTGTACTCTGTGGACAATAGCCTTGCACCTGTCTCCATAGCTTCTCACACTGTCCTCAGAGCAGATCAACTCAATGGGAACATGGAGTTTTTTGACCTGTCTGAGCCAGTCTTGTCTTTGGGCATCTGTGTCCAGGGATCCAGGCTCCAGGTACTCCACACATGCGAAAGCAGCATACACATCAAGAACCTTGAAGACAGAGGGAAATGAATTGCTACACATCACAGGTCACTAAACAGACAACGTTAATAACACTAAAATACCAAACATTCATAAGTCATATGCTTGGTCATTTCAAAAACCTTAAAGAAAACGGTCTTTTGAGACTCACCAGTTCAACCCCGTCTCTGGTATGATGATTCTTCAACAGATGCTGGGTCACCTGGGGCTCAATGCAAATCATTCTGGAGAAGTTCTGAAGTCGGTTCTTGAACTTATGATAAGCAGCATGGACCCATGGAAGAGATGTCACTGTATCCGTATTATTGAGCTGCAAACGCAGCTCATTGACGCAACAGTTCAGGGCACCACACAGGAGCTGGAAAAGAGCATGACGTGCATGAGTGTTAACATGCACCAACACCACACGGATCTAGATTAACAATAGCTGCAAGTCAAAACAACCTCCAAATCTTCCTGACATGTCACGTTCATTGTCATGGAGATGAAATCCTGAAGGTAGCGTTGGAAAAACTCTGTCTGCATCTCTCGGTCTGCTTTCTCAATGTATCGCCCCAGTGGTGTCTTCCAAAAGAACTCATCGAAATCTTGTTGGGTTTGGCCTAACAGACATACACATTTGTTTACACAACATCAACATCATTACATTACATTACATTACATGTCATTTGTTAGACGCTTTTATCCAAAGCGACTAATATTCAGTACTGTGGACAATCCCCACAGGAGCAATTTGGGGTGAAGTGTCTTACCCAGGGACACAACGACATGCTGACTGCAGTGGGACCCGAACTTGCTATCTCCTGATTCGAAGTCCAGCACACTACCCACTGAGCCACAGCCTCCCACATCATGGTGGTAACATAGCACAAATGTAGAGTACCTGATAACAGGCCATTACCTTCACGTTGAAGGGCATGAACCCAGAGTTCCTCCAGGTAGTCCTTGATCCTCCAGCTGAAGGGCATGCTGCAGCTCATGTTCCTGTCTTGGGCAATGTAGTTCTGCACCAGGATTGTTTTTGTCTCAGAGCTGTCAAAAGAGAAAAACAACAAAAAGTTGAAATATGTTAACAGTTTGTTAAATCTTATGACCTTTATTCATCATAACCATAACTCACTTGGGGTCCAGTGTTAGGTGTGGGATTTCCAGCAGCTTATCATTGCCAAAGATATCTAACCAAAGCCTCTTGACAAATCCACCACACTTTTCATCGAGTAGGATGTTCATGTTTTGATCACGGTCAATGACTGAAACCAGTTGAGCCAAGAGGGGAATGACCACAGCCTGAACGCGCTTCCATAAGGTGTGCCTGTCACAACAGACAAAATGTTAACAGTGCAGTTCATAAAAAAAATATGATTGTTTAGGCAAAAAGAGCATGTGTATTCTGTGGCACTAACCTGAAAGTGCCTCCCTCTTGCAATGCGTCAATGTTTGAGGCCTCCTTAATAACCCAGTTGCTTTTGATGGATAAACCATCATGAGTCGCCAGCAATGAGTGAAGATGCTTCTTTACAGTTTGCAGAAATTCCCCTGAGAATAGAAAGATAAGATCATGAACACTGCAACTGCTGTAAAATAACAACACCACTGAAAGAAACGTGTTGTTAGTACCTTTTACTTCGTCGTTGTCACTGAGGAGTGTCAGCAGGATCTCAACTCTTCGAGTACTGCGGCCACCTTCCACCTGGTCCCTGAGCATGCCGACTGCACTCTGCACACAGCTCCGCACCAGCGCTGTCGTGTCCACAGCGTTTTTCCAGCCCTGCAGCAGGAAACACAGTGGTCAGAAGCTGGTAGCACAAGCAACCCAAAATAACATGACATATCATTTTTGTCAGACAACTGACTGAAAGCACATCTGTCCAACATTAGAGTCAGAATTAAGAGTCGGTTTTATTACCAAGTAGGTTTACACATACGGGGAATTTGCTTTCGTATTATGTAAACCTAGATGGTAATAAAACTGATTTGGATTAAAATGTAAGTGTGGATTTTCTTTTATTAAATGGCAAATTAAAAAAACATATTTTAAATGTGTGGTTTTCCCACAGCAACAAATGTATGTTGTATCCGTCTGTACTCACATTTTCCTCTGCATTTTCCTCTGCTTCCTCATGCTCATTCTCAGTATACATGTCATCCACCTCCATGGCTATAGAAAAAAGAGCTTGTAACTTAATGCCACAAAGATTATACGTAGAGGAAATGATTATTTGCAATCGATTAATTATGAATCGTTACCTTCAGGCTGGCTCATCTTTGTTTCAAACATTTGACTGATTGTCATGTTTTGCAAGGTTTTGATGTCTGAAACAATGTCCTTTGACCGTCTGAGGTCATCAATGTGAACTGATCTCCAGGGGCCTGTAAATATTAACATGCGTCGGATTATTCTTCAAACCATTCGATAAAATTTAAAAAAATCACAACTCTTCTTAACTTTACCTCCATGAAAGCCGATGTAGGAAGTCCCTCCTTCCATTCTTGGCAGTCTGGTGATAAAGTAGACAAACACCCTGCTTCCGTTGCTCTCGTGAGTTATCTTGTTGATTTCATTCATGGATGAATATCTAAAAAGAAACAGCAAAACTAAATATGGTGAATCCCAAGATGGACATATAACCAACAAAGAGGAAATGTTTGACCTACTTTGCAGATGCAATGAGATTGGCACTGTGAGAGGCTTCGTCGAAATCACTCTGAATGAGGAGGATCTTGTTGGGGGGTCCAGTGTTACTGCTGCCATTATCAGCTGTGAGGAAGTTCCTACAAGAAAGAGGGGAATTGAAGTTGACTGATAACATACTGAAAGATCAGAAGTGTATGTTCTTGGTAATAATAATTCACTGCTTTTCAGAACATACATTATACCCCTTAAAAATACTGTAACAAAGGATATATTTAATGTACATTAAAAAAAGACAGTTCACCCCAAGAACAAAATTAATTTGCCTATAGTGTTTTTATCAATATAGATTGTTTTGTTGCACGTTGCTGAAGCTTGGATAAAATGGCCACAGCCATATGTCCAGATATTATGAACCTGTTAGTCAAGATATTGATTAACAGTCATGTTGGAGCAGTTTCATTTCGAAAAGAAAAATGTTTCTCCTTTGTATTGTTTTTTTACAACTTACCGTACCATTATTAAGAAGAACATTTACTTTCTGCATAATTGTGTTTACTCGATGAGAATACCAACACGTTTCAGGTTATTTCAGTTTAACAGAGCCACATCTTTTAGAAAATCTAAACTAATACATTTCTCAAAATATCAACAAACCTAATTTTCTTCAGGAACGAGTACTCCGTGTCAAACTGCTGGAGTGACAGAAGCTCAACACTATTCAACACTTGTTCTAGTGTATCAAGGTCAGAAGCTGTCAGAAGTCTGGAGAATGTCGTCACCTGTGGTTTGAAATGAGAAGTATTAAGGCCTTATAAATGCTTGCGAGCATGTATTTGAAACCACTATAACAACATAACAATTTTAGGTTACCTCTGTGAAGAAGGAGTGGCAATGGACTTCCTGCATTGTGTGTGCAAGAATGAAGTCGGCTAAGCAGCTGTTATTCTGCTCTTCGAAGTAAACTCTGGCCAGATTTTCACTCTCCACTTTGGGAAGGCCTGTGCAGTCCAACCGCACAACTGAGTCTGGTGTGGCACATCTGAGCAGTATGAGTTTTGCCTCGTCCAGTACTCTCCTCTCAGGATCTGAAATGTCCAAACTGCCCTTCTGCGTTTCCACAACTTGTAGTACCACTGAAGCACATGTGTCTGAGTGGTAGCCGATAAAGACGTCTGGCGGTTGGTACTTGTAAGCCTGAGCTGCTGTTGCGTGTTGATTGCTGAGAGAGACAAAGAGTCTCAACCATCCCTCCAGTTCTTTCGCAATCTTCGTCTGCTCGGTTTTAAGGACAGTGTGGATGTCCATGTAATGTTTCTCCAGCCTGTTGATGAGAGGTATTGGAAACTGTTTGTAGACAACCTCTCTTTCCTCAATGACAATCAGCCGGAAGTCCCTGTGCACCCGACATTTCACACGGTGGGTTCCCAGTCCAAGATCCACATATTTCTGTCCTCCCAACCAAACATAGTATTGGTTGAGGGCATCGTACAGGCTTTCATAGAGGTTTTGCAAGTTTAGGAGAACAACCGTTTGACCTGTCTCCATGCAGACCTTTACTCTGTTGATGTTGCGGCAGATTTGGGTGTACTCTTGGTCTTTTGGGAAACTGGATCCAAAGATTATTTCTGGCTGACCATTTTCTGAAAAGAAGGATTGCTGCAAGATTTGTAGCGCTGCATAGTTTTTTGTCAGTACCAGCAGGTAACGACATTCTTCTTGTCCAACCGACTGAATGTTTTCTTTGACAAACTCAATGGCACTGATGTTATCCAGGTCCTGTGGAAAATTCAGTCTTTTGGTAAAGACGGAAACTGCGTCAACATCATCCTTTCCACTGAAATTTCTCAACACTGCCTTTATGGTTTCTTCTGGAGTGGGCTTCCTTTGAGAAGCCTTGGCCACTGCAAAAATCATCTTAATCAAGCTGTAATAGTCACGTAGGCCAAAAAAGCCTTTGCCTTTTTTGTGGCAGATGTTCAAGTAGGCTCTTGCAAAGGGCTGGAATAAATCCCTGACTTTCTCCAAAACCATTGCATCGGATTTGCATATGCCTTTAGCACTCTCAATGAGTTCCCTCTCATCAGGGTCACCACGGGAGACAAAAATGCCTCTGTTCATCTTTGCAGGGTCCAAAGCCCAGTTTGAGATGCCAATGAATCCAACCTTTTTGTGTGGTAGTGGCTCATCATCAATGCATCCCTCTTCTAGCAGTGGATGGAGGGTTTTCAGTGGCATTTTTGGAGAGTCCTCAGCCAGCCCAATCTCATCAAGAACCACAACTGAAATGTACTCCGCCAGGTTCTTCCCTTCCTGGAAGCGTCCGCATTGTTTGAATGTATTAATGATGCCTTCTGGTGTTGAATGAGGGCTACACTGGAAGGAGACCAAATGGATTTGTTTAAACCCTTTGTAGAGATCTGAATGAGCAGCTTGGCCCTGCATTGCATCAGCCACAAGAGTTTTAGACAGAGATTTTGAACTGCCAGGTTTCCCAACTAGGAAGAGAGGGATTTTGAGCTCAATGCAGATGACCATCATGAAGACATTCTCTTTCAGTGCACTGTTTCTCGCAATGGTATCCCCCATTGGAACACCGCTCAAAAGCAAATCCTGCATTAGTGTGATTTCCTGCATGACTTTTTCTGGGCTGTATTGTGTTGGTAGGCTTTTGCTGATTTTCTGTCTGTATTTGTCCTTTTTCTCTAAGCAGGCATGGTAGCACACTCCAATGGCCATGACTAGAGACCAGAGAACAGGGTCTCTGACCTCCTGCTGTCTGTGATGCCTTTCATTCTTCTCAGCTTTCTGTTTACTCTCAAAATCTTTAAGCTCTGCAAACAACTTGATGTGGTTGTCGTAGAACCAAACAAAAGACTGCATGCAGCGTTCGACATCTCTCAGGCTGACAAAGCTGCATTCATCCTTTTTTGTCCGCATGTACTTCTGTGAAGCTGAGAGGACATCAGTGATGCACTTGATGCAAGTTTGAGGAATGGCCTTTTTTTCAACCACTCTTTGCACAATCTGCTGGATGTATATTCTCTCTGTTTGATCGTTTAACTGTCCAAAGTCCCACACCAGAGGAATCATGCTTGGTGGTAATGCTTGAACTCTGTAGACTAACTGGCGGAGGGGAATGGACCCAAGCTTTTCATCTGACTCTTCAGCCCGAACTCTGTACCCAAGGCCGGCAGATTCTAACCTCTGAATCATCTCATCCGTGTGCTTTCGGTAAGGGTTGCATGCTGCAATGATCTGCAATCCACAGTCGGATGTCAAACTTTCCCCCTTGACCGTCTTGTCACAGAGGACCTCCTTAATACTGCTAATGGCATCGGTTGTGTTGGCTTCATCAAAAAAGAGAACAGATTCAAATCCATAGTCTCCCTTGTTGATAGAAGCAAGGTCTTGAGCTTCTCTGATCTTGGTGTAAATCATCTCAGAAGTTGTGCCCCCATGCACCTTGACCAGTTTCATGTTCTCAGTGGCCACTCCACTCCTTCGCAACTCACAAAGGAATTTAATGAGCCTCGTCTTACCACAACCCGTCTCTCCCATGATAATGACAGGGATGCCACACCTGAAGCGCATATGGATTGCTAACATCTTCAGTATGTTATCAGTGGTAAGCTCATAGGTTTCATCAGGGTCAAGGGGCCACTGGATACCAAGAACATTGCAGAGTCGCTCTATTTTCTCTCCTCTTGGAAGGAGATCAAAGTCCATGTTGAACGGGACTCTCTGTAGTTTGAGGCCTTCATACAATGTATTTGTCATGACATTCTTTTTTATCACCCTTCCAGAAGTGGGATCGATGGCATCAACAGAGTTCGGGCCATTGGGCACAAGATGGAAGCCAATAAAGGTCATGGACACATGGTCATCATTAAAGAAGATGTATGGATGTGGTTCGGTTTCCCATCTCTTTCTGATCAGAAAAGGAGCCAAGTCTTCGTCTTTGACACCAGTCATGTCCATCTGCAGCCTGCCAGGACTCTGGTCAGAGATGCTTAGTGATGGAGTGGCAAAGTCTTTTGCCATCAGAATCATGAAGTCCACCACAAAGGTTTTGAAACCAGTCAATCCAGTGTCTCCTGTTAACTCAGGGTCACAAAAGACGGATGACTCGCAGTCTTTCAGCTGAAGATTGAGGAACCATGCGAAATTTCTCAGCTCTGCCCAGGATGGATCCATCATTCCACAGAACATGAGAAGCATCTGAAGGCATTCAACCTGTGACCCTTCAACATCCTGGTATTTGAACAAATCAAGATCATTGTGGTTATGAAACCGTGTGAGATACTGGTATGGCCGCTGAAAGGCTGCACTCCTGTATTCTTCTTCATCCATTAGTGGTTCTTCATTGGTCTCAAAAGAAGGATCACCTTGCTTCTTGATCTCCAACATTAGCACTTCTTTGGGTGGTCGGCAGAAAATATTTGGAAACACACCTGTGAATGTGCTTTTCAAAGTTTCGGCCTATGCAGAAAAAGAGAAAATAGAACACATAAAGCATCGGCAACGGTTTAAGAATCAGATGATGAATTATTAGCATAATTCCCAAAAAGTGAAAAGTCTTACCTGCCGTGAAACATTTCTAGTTGACATGACAGTCGGCTCTAACATCTCAATGAGATACAGCTGCTTGTCACTGCACTTCCACGTCTTTCCCTCAGAGTCCATCAAATAGCGCAGGATCAACAATTTGAAAAGAAACTCATGGAGACCTTTCTGCACCTTTTGAATCACATAAAACATAGCCCAATTAACCTTATATGTAAGCTTTCGAGTTACTAAATATTTATTAGGCAATATTAAACCAAGATAAGCATTAAGATTAAGATTCATATTTACCGATGATGTGACGTCAAAATGGAACATCGTGAGTTCTTCACCTTTGGGGGTGTTCAACAAAGATTGAAGGATGACATTCTCGTCAACATTTGGTTCGATCAGGCGAATGCATTTCATCATTGATGGCTTTTTGGTGGAGTGTTTCAGTTTTTCATACAGCCTCTTGATGTAGAGAGATTTGCCTGCATTTAAAAAGAAAGTTTTTATTATGGGTATTAATACTCTTAAGAGTTTCCTTAAGTTCACCATCATCATTTTGAAACAGCTGAGTACTGTACACATGTACTAACCAACACCAGCCCTTTTGGATGACACAACACCGACGCGCAGGCGGTCTTTGAACACAGCTGCAGCGCTGCACTGATCTGCTGGAACAACGTAGTGTTTGTGGAGGTATCTCTCGATCCCGTCCAATGGCTCCTGGGGAACCATGTGCAATCTGTACTGGCTGAAGGCTGAAGGAAGATAGGCATGTTCTCTTTCAGAGCTGCAGATGAGGACAAGTCTATAGTCTTTTCGGCTCTGCATTTTCCTTCTCTGAAAAAAGTTCTCAACTTTAGAGCTCACATCATAAGTGAGCAGATCTCCGTACAGCAGAGTGTATATCTTCTGTCCCCTGTACCCTTGGCTGAGACAGCGTCTGAGGAATAGCTCCACCTGTTCGTACGATGTTGAGGAGTTGCACAGAAGGACTTCATCATAGGTGGGAAGTGACTCTGCTTCACTACTCATGTAAATGGAGATGCAAGATGTCAACACCTCATCGTGCGGGCAAACAATGAGGTTTGGATTTCCGGCGGCCATGCCTTTGGGTAGCTGCCTCAGTATAAGATGTCTGGTGTCATCATCAGAAATGTCTTCATCACTCTCATCTTCTTCACTATCTTCTTCTTTGTTGGCTAGTAATTCCAACAGTCTTCCAAGACTATGTATATCAAGAATGTGTGGAAGATACGTTGTCATGTCTTTCATATAAGCATTCCATATCTGATAGAATATTTGCACACCATTTGCTCGGACCACAAGACTGAGAGAATCCATCTCATTGGCAACGTCTGTGTCTCCCAGCTCACTTGTTGGCACGATAACAAAAGTCTGAAACTCAATTTCTTCATTTTGCTCTGGTGGTTTGGTGAGGATCTCATACTGGAGTGTATGCCAGACCTGCCTCAAGTCTGAAGCTGTGCAATTTGGCTTGACAAATGAGAGCATCATGAGAACTTGGTCCTCAATTTGGGCCACATTTTGCTGAGTCAACTGGCTGCAGAGGTAGACAATCTGTTCGGCTGTGTAGTAGTTCAGGTAGTAATGCTCGGACCTCTGTTTGTCCACAAAGTTCATCCAATAATCTAGGCATTTCTCAATTTTCTTGCAAAATTTAGGAAGCTGCTCTACTATGCTGCCCTCCACAATGACAACACTGAGAACACTGCCCAGGTTGAAGTCCATCATAATGCTGGGTTCCTTACTGCTCAAACTGCAGTTGATCTGTGCTTCCCAGTGCCTGAAAAGAGGATTCCCAGCAGTGTAGAGGGCAATGAATGCCTCAGCTAGTCTTTGAACACTAGCAAAAACCTGAAAAATAAATACAAACCTATCGTCAGATTATACATTGCATCATCTTTTGTATGTACTTGGTAATCAGGAGACATACTGTATATGGTATATTCAATATTTTTAAGAAATGTGTTAAACTTTGAAAGATAGGAAAAACTGAATAAAAAAATATTATAGGATTGTTATTATTATTATTATTATTATTATTATTATACCTCTGCAAAATGATCAACTTCATTCTGCCCTTGATCCCCTTTGCCAGACATGAGCATAAGTTTGTTCTGCAGCTCTCGAAGGTCCTCAAGAGAATAGCAGCGCATCCTCTGACCCTCATCATTCTCCTCTGGAATATGCAGCTTCAAGGCGGAGTCAAGACTCAACTGGAACGAAAAACAGAAATATAATCTCATACATAATTCTGTAGGAACTTTCTCAGAGACAACCTCTGTACTTCATGCATGTAAGGTTGCTATCATCTTGGATTTTGTTATTTACCTTTTTTACATTTTGTGCACTGATGAGGTAGATACCCTTGCTGTTGATGGCTGATGCTAAGGAAAGAGATGACAGCTCCACCGATCCATGACTGTCCTTCACAGTCTTCAGCCATTCCAAATGCCGTGCACTGTCCCGCTAAAAAATAAGATAAGATTGGCAATGTGCTGATTAATATTCCGTTTCTATAACAAATACTTGGGGTTAACCCAATTAGCCTAACCGTATGATAAAAACTTTCACACGAGTGTTTGTAGTTACTGTTTGCAATCGCTATTATTATTTTATGTCAGAGGATTGTCTAATTCAAAAAATTTGAAACTAAGTAAATTGTACAATAACAACAGAGAAACAATGTCAACACGGGTTATTTTTAACACAAGTAAGTTTTAAGCTTTAATATTTCAGAAGAAGTATTGGCTTTCTCACCAGTTTATCTGGTAGTTTGCTGTCATTCTTCAAAGCTTTCCAGAGCTTCTCGAGCACGTCTTTGAAGATGTTGAAACCAGCATCTTGTTTGAGCTCATAAAGCATTGAAGAATATCCTTGGACAGCATCATGGAAGCAGGCGACACGATCCACATCCATGTCATTCTCTCCCGCAGAGATAGAAGCCAGGTCAACGAACACCTTCAACTCATTGATATCTGAAAGCAAATAATAATTGTTTTAGCTAATTTGCCTGAATCAGCAATAAAAGCCTTGTTAATACAGCATATTGTAACTGTTCTTACTGTACCTTCAAGTGAATCTTTAACCCAGTTTACAAAGTGTCCTCGGAGTCCCAGCTCCTGCAGGCACAGTCTGCGAGCCTCAGTGATGTCCACCAGCACTTTCTTTGCCTGGATCAAGTGATTGTCAATCCGATTGAGCGGCTCGTTCTGGAAGTCTGCATGGCTCTGAAGGGAGAAGAATGTGAAAAGACAATATTAAAAAAATACATATACCCGTATTGATTTTCACATACATGTAATGTGGAATCTTTGTTGGGTGCAATATACTTAGTTCATAGCCACTTACAACTTCAGTGAGTGTCTCCAGAACCCTGAAGTCCCCCTGGAGACAAAGCGCCTCTTTGACCTTCATGATAATTTGAGCCGAGGCCACAGCTAGATGAAGTTCGTGATACTGCTCGATCTGTTGAACCCTGCTGTGGATCCACTGTTTGTCAGTGGATTTATCAATTCTGCACATGATGTCCAGGTCCTTTGCAAGCTCTTCGTACCTGCCCTTGTAATCATGGAAAAGCTGGTTTACCTCCTCGAGCCTTATACTGCTATTCTTCAGACGAGTGTAGATGCCTTTGTATTCATCATAGCAAGGCTCGAAAATGTCATTGTGTATCATTTCTGGTGTTGCATTAATGTCCGCTATTTGAAGTGCACCAGGGTCGGCGTCTGCCATTTCTTCTGCAACCATGAGTTTGGCTTGATTCTCCCAACACACTTTGAATATATGACTGTCTCTGAAGGTGAACAGGATCTCGCCCATGTTTTTGATTTCTTCACCCAGATTAAAGTAGGTGACAACACCCGCTTTAGGTGTGGCCAGCTGTTCAAATGGATGAACCTCCATAAAATCGTTCAGCGGCATCGATTCCACGTTCACCTGGTTTCTCTTTTCCATGTCCTCAAGATCAACTGTCATGGAAATTAAATAAGCATACGTTAACTCTGCTGCAACTATGATAAGGAAACCAAACAGAAGGATTTTCCACCATACCTGTCATATGTTCCCCAAGTTTGTGGCTCATTGTTAAGACAATGTCCACAAGCTCCTTCTCATGGTACACATCGTTCAATTCAGCCTCTCTGCATTGTAACAGTCTCCTCATTTTGTCATTATCCCTGTATTGTTCATTCTCAGAGAGGCATTCTGTATAAATATCAATTCAAACACACACATCTCAAGGTTACTATTATGCTTGCACAATGAAATGAAATAGCATTTTTGAGGGGTTATTTTTTTTTTTAATAAATGTGATGTGAAGCAGACTGTTTTACCAATCTTCAGCAGATCTAAGAAGGCGGTTTTCCTGTCCAAAATGATTTTCAGCAGGCTGGTCTTTATGGTTCCATGGACCAGTTGATTGTTGATGGCTGTGAATGATGATATTGCAATGGCGATTTGGTCCCTGGCATCTTGAGAGAGTTCATTGATCAGCTTTTCATCTGCGCCTGCAATTAGAGAAATGATATGGCAATTTTTTGTCTAAAACCACATAAATATTCTAATGCTTGTCTTTTGCCATGAGGTCATTAAGTGAGTCTATTTCTGTTAGCTGGCTTTTTTTACAAGTATATTAAACCTCATAACTCTACAGATTTCTATTTGGTGTGTGCATGTTTAAATTGGTTTATATATTCAAGAGGAGATACCATGTAGTTTGAAATAGTCTTTGGCGGCAGTCCAGGAGAGTAGGTGCTGAAGGACCAATTGTTCATCTTCCTGATATTTTCCATGACGGTCCTTTGGCCAGGATTTCTCGATAATGGCTGATATGAGTTTCCCGAACTTCCAGTTTACCTTGAACTTCTCCAACAGCTTCCCCTCAGACTTAGTCTACAATATGAGGAAAAACATTACTGTGAATCTTTTATATCCGGCCAGGACTGTAATAAAACAGGGAACCAATATAATAGGTTATAGATTTTAAGAAGTTGTCAAACCTGGCATAAAGATGTAACAGCCTCAAGAGCACACCTCTCGACACTAGCAGCAACGAGTGGATAGGATTTACTGAGTTCCTCTATCTTTGTGCAGTAAAACTCAGTTTGATCCACAGCAGATTCCTAAAAGCAAATGCATGGAGAATATAGTAAATATGTGTTGTTTACCGAAAATGAACAGTGATGTGTAAAATAAGTATCACTTACCAGTTTGTATTTGCCCTCAAAATCCATTGTGAATGTCTCTCTCCATACTTGTGTGCAATCTTTATCCTTGAATTGGATGGACATGATGTTGTTCCACATCTGTTAAACACAATCACACAGAAGAAAACATGTCAAACTTTCTCTACTGATGATTGGTTGTGAGCATCCATCTGTACATTTTGTGTTTCATTAAAAAAAATTTAAAAAACTGCTCACTTCTGTTTCTGCTGTGGCTTCAACTCTGGTGTACATGGAGAACATTGCCCTGTTGAGCAGACGCTGTCTGTAGTATCGACTGATCCAGCCTCTCATAATGTCCTTCGCCTGAGAGATCCAGTCTTTTACATATTGCTGCTCTTTTTCTCCTTCTCCTTGCTACATGAGAAATAATAGTACAGTATTTGATATAACCAAGATTCAATCATGTATAAAATGTTATTTGCCCAAACAATTCACTTCACATACCTGTGGATTGTTACAATGAACAAAGTCTGACACTGATGCAACCAGATTCATGCAAATGACAGGAATATCCGGGTAGCTCTGGGTATATGCCGGTTTGACTCCTTTGCAGAGCTTGTCTAACAGTTTCACTGCTGTTTCAAGGCACTCTTTCCTATACGCCTCGGTGAACAAACTATAATAAAGCAAAATAAAGAAAACAAGGTTAAAGCACCAGAATTAATAAAGATAACCTGTCATATACTCATTTGATTCAAATGTTATGCACAGCAAAATAGTTATTCAAAAATATGGAAAGAACAAAGCACAAGTCTTAAAATATGAACTATCAATTTCAAACGCACTGAATTCAGAAAGGAAAATTACCTGTATTTTTCTTCGACAAGATTTCCTTGGATATGTGAGAGAATGTGAGATACTTCCTGAAAAGCAGAAATCCAAAAACACTAATTAATTTTGTGAAACTTGCTAAAACCCTGAAATTAATTATTTTGATTAGTTTACCACTTCACCTGGTAGTTACTGCTCGTAATATCCAGAGGAGCCTTGTTAGTGAAAACATGAAGCATGTCCAAAAGCTCAATGTCAATGAGGTTACACTCCATCAGATCATCCAATGGGATCAGGAACATGCAGGATCGCACAAAAAGTGCATCCACTTCCATCAAGTGACTGTGGCTTTTCATCAGATTCACTAGAGACCTAAAAAAAAGACGATTAAATAAAATGCATGTACAGCAATATCTATTCTGAGTAAAAGCACTGGAAGATCGGACTCTTACTTCCTGTCTTGACTGCCCATGTATGATAATGAGGTGCCAATGTCAAGGCCTTCCAAACCTGCCCAGGCTGAACCATACTTTGAGTTTCCAGAAGTTGGTACTTCAAAGGGCTTCGTGTTGCCTTTGAGAAGGTGGAGGAGCGGCAGGACCAGAATCCATCGAGGCATTCCTGCTGTTTTCACAGCTTTTATCAGATACACCAACATATCTGTCAGACTACAACAAAGAAAATAGTATGAGCATCTGAATAGAAAAGCGTATTTGGCTGCTCTTAAATTTGTAGATCGCTACCTACTTTTTGTTGAGAATAGCGACATCCTGAGAAAACTCTGCCCAGTAACCGAGAAACTCTTCTTTGTTCCGTTTGGGTAAACAGAGCATATTGCAGAGCTGATTGAGTTCACCATGTTCCAGTCTGAGTTTATGCTGTCTCCATACATATAGCATGATCACAGCTGCTCTCATGCGATCCTGAGTGTAGAGCATCTCCCCACCTCCATCCTTCCTCAGAGGAATAACCTTTGTCAGCATGAATTCTTTCAGCATCCTTCTCACCTTGGAAATTATACCAGAGAAGCAGAGGTAAGGAGTAAGATGGTCTAGCCATAACTGGGGGCATGCAGTATCTTTACACAATGATTATGAACTTACATCCTCTTCCCCATATTCTAAGGAGAGCCACTTCTTTTGTTTTTCTTCATACACAAAAGGATCTCCATAAACTTGACAGAACTGATTCAGCTGGATCAAAAAACTTCTCAAATTTATATCAGTCCAGCTCCTGAGAAGATCAAATATGGACTCCAGCATGATGTTCCCTGCGATCTCTCTGCCTTCAATCAGATTCTTCCTTTGGTCAGGCCAGAAAGTTTCTTTAATGCGCTTCAGCACGTTCTTCGATGGCTCGGCACAAATGATGTCATCATATTGATGCCAGTCCCCTTTACAAAACGAGAAACAACAGAAATGTTATGCGTGTAAAGTAAATACATCATAATATGATAATCAAATACCATTTGCATGCAGCAACTATGATTACAAATAGACCAAGTGAAGGTTACATTTACCGTCGTCAGTGACAAGGCCGGGTTTCACAAACAAACACCTGTTGGTAATCTGGTGAGTAGAATCCAGTTTGTATATGTACTCATGCTCGTATTTGTCCTTTTTTTTGTTATAGACAACATATTTGTACGGTATTGACACAGATACAGCTTCCGTTTTCTTTGTAGGCAGCCTGCCCTCAACCAGAAAACCATGTTCTCCAAGATCCCTGTGAAAGAAGACAAGAAAGTGAAATGTATGGGGCGTTAAGTCAGTGAGATATGACAATAAGAGCAGGCAAGTCTCTCAATTAACATATCAAATTCACATCCATATTTCCCTCTGCCTCTGAGTGGGGCAGTTTAATTCTAGATACAGCTAGTTTGTATACAACATATACAAACCACGCTGCATAATTATGTGTAGTATGTATGCTTGCAATGATTGGGTGGGGAACATGTATTTTTTCAAATTAGCAAATAAATTCTAAAGAAACTCAAGATTAGATATCTAAGTGATTTTTTGGATTAATTCATGTTTAATAAGCCCATATATTAGGCCACCATCTGATCTTAATTGACGATGCACCCAAGAATAAGCGTAAGCATAATACCTGGCCACAGACAGCTCAACTGCATTTTCGTTCCATGTTCCAATGGAGCGCCCAGCCCTGATGAAGATAAGATCTTCTGCAGGATCAAATTTGAAATCCTTTGAGAGAACTGCATGAAAGTAAATTGTGAGTCTGTCCCGTGCAGCAATGTTCTTGTTCCTGGTCAGCCTGAAAAGCAAAAACAAATAAAAAGAGATTATATAACACACATAAAACTGATCCAAAGCAAATGTGTGCCATTGTGTGAGAGAGCTTCTTCACCTTTCGGGGGGCGGCTCATCATGGGTGCTGGGCTCCTTGCTGTCCTGTTTACTTCCCTTGTCGGGGGTCTGTTTTGCCGTCGAGTCGCTGCCAGACTGCTGAACCCCCAGGGTCTGCTCCGCGTCGACGCTGGAGCCTGTGGGGTCAGCCTGGAAAAAGTAGCATTAAACACGCAAGTTAAATATACAACTTGAACCAAATTTAAAAAATGAATAAACATTCTGCACCAAAAAACATATTTTATTCAATAACAATTCCTTTTCATACATTTTAGTCTGCATTACCTTTGAAAGTGTTTGAGGCCCAAACACCATCGGATTCTGTTTCTGCTCCTGCTGACTCTTTCCCTTCTGTTTGCTTTGTCCTGTCTGCTTCTCATTTTTCTCTACGTTGGCATTCTGGTCCATTGCAGGTGGTTTATTGGTGTCAAAGTCTTTCTTTTTCTTTGAGCCTTTCTTTTCAGTATTTTCATTTTGTAGGTTTGTTGCCTTGTTCCCTTTGCCTGAACCTGCCTGAGAAGCTACTGTCTTGCTCTCACTCTTGCTGTCTTCTGAGATGGGAGTCTGAGTGTCAGCTGGTGCTGTGTTGAGAGTCTGATCCTGAGCTGATTTCAGTGCATTGCTCTCTCCCTCAACAGTGATACCTGGAGCGTCCCCAGAATGAATCGGAGTTCTTGCCTCTAATGCTAAAGCCTCCTTTTCACTCTGAACCTCTTGTTTGTCTTCAGAAGGGCCCGCAGGAATGTTCTTGTTCACCCTGAAAAGCAGAAACAAATAATAAGATATTATATAACACACATAAAACTGATCCAAAGCAAATGTGTGCCATTGTGTGAGAGGGCTTCTTCACCTTTTGGGGGGCGGTTCATCATGGGTGCTGGGCTCCTTGCTGTCCTGTTTACTTCCCTTGTCGGGGGTTTGTTCTGCCGTCGAGTCCTTCTCGCTGCCAGACTGCTGAGCCCCCAGGGTCTGCTCCGCGTCGACGCTAGAGCCTCCGGGGTCAGCCTGGAAAAAGTAGCATTAAACACGCATGTTAAATATACAACTTGAACCAAATAAAAAAAACGAATAAACATTCTGCACCAAAAAACGTATTTTATTCAATAACATTTCCTTTTCATACATTTTAGTCTGCATTACCTTTGAAAGTGTTTGAGGCCCAAACACCATCGGATTCTGTTTCTGCTCCTGCTGACTCTTTCCCTTCTGTTTGCTTTGTCCTGTCTGCTTCTCATTTTTCTCTACGTTGGCATTCTGGTCCATTGCAGGTGGTTTATTGGTGTCCAAGTCTTTCCTTTTCTTTGAGCCTTTCTTTTCAGTATTTTCATCTTGTAGGTTTGTTGCCTTGTTCCCTTTGCCTGAACCTGCCTGAGAAGCTACTGTCTTGCTCTCACTCTTGCTGTCTTCTTGGATGGGAGTCTGAGTGTCAGCTGGTGCTGTGTTGAGAGCCTGATCCTGAGCTGATTTCAGTGCATTGCTCTCTCCCTCAACAGTGATACCTGGAGCGTCCCCAGAATGAATCGGAGTTCTTGCCTCTAATGCTAAAGCCTCCATTTCACTCTGAACCTCTTGTTTGTCTTCAGAAGGGCCCGCAGGAATGTCAGCTGCTACTGAACTAGGCTGGCTCTCTAGTGAGGAGGGCCCATCTTGGAGGGACTCTGGTGTGTCATCCATTGCATTTTCTGAGCTTTCACTCTCAGAAGAGTCTGGCCCGCCCTGAGTCTTCTTTCCTTGGCTGTCTCCCAGTGAGACATGAGACATGTCTTGGTCTGATGACAAGGGGCCTTCTTTCTTCTTTTTGTTCCTCTTCTTCTTCTTTTTCTATGAAGACCGGACAGTGGAAAATCAGTTTTACAAAACCATCCTTTACTGCTAATGTAAAACTATGCCACAATCAAGTTGAGTCAAACACTTTTTTGTTTTAATGGCAGACATTTCAGATTTCTTAAGATCTAAACTACTTCTGATCGCTCTTCTAAATGACGGACAACATAATCACACGCAATAACATCACAATTAGCACAATGGTGAAACAGACCTTGATATAACTCCATTTATAACAAATAAAAAACAGGAAGGTGTCATTCTGACTAAACTCTAGCACAAAGACTTGTAGATAACCATTTGCAGACTTCAATTGCAAAAGGGTAGGTTACACATTACATTAACATTTGATTGTGACTCATAAAGTCACTGTAGACCAACAAAAAAGACAGTTACACGCACCTTTTTCTTTGGGTTGCTGATGGTCTCATCATTTGGTCGTTTGGGGGATCTATTGGACTCATTTTTTGAAACTGATTTCTCTGATGTACCTTCTGAGTCTGCTACCAAGGGTTTGGGCTCATCTCCTGTATCTGGAATAAAGATATGGGGTGACAAATCAGACTAGATCCAAACGTGTATAAACCAGTGTGACAATTAGAAGGAATTATAACTACAAAGTGCAGTCTGCTTAGAGGGTTATCAATGGCAGTGCATTGCCTAAGTCTTATTTGCATTCCAGCCAAATTACATTAATTGTTTTACTTCTGTTTTCATTCAAAGTTACAAAAAAAAACACAAAAGCCTGATCATTATGTCACATGCTGTTGGTTTAATCTCAATTTGTCCAGCTGTCTGAAAATGTGTGAACAGATAATGAAGAGACGCTGCCATCTTGAGGTAAGAGAATAACACTAACACTTGACAAACATATGTTATGAATTTAATATCCAGCACTAACTGTTTGACATTCAAAAGGGCCATACAAATGATGTCAAATGGGTTCATGAAAACATTTTGGTTTTGAAAAGTTGAGCCCACTTCTGAATCAGCTTTCATCCTTCTTAATTTCTTTACAAACAACTTGTTTTATTTATCATTTAGGGATAGAGTGACATTTATTTATGTTCAAAACAAAGATTGTGGTAATATTATGCCATTTAGACTACCAGCTTAAATAAAAAAAGCTCTATGGCACACTGTTAAACAATATTAATGTACAAAACATGATTGGTTCTTAAATCATATTATGGATGTTTTATAAACAAAAAAAACATTATAACCACGTAACTTTATATTGTGTGGACCTCATCATTCAATTTCTCTATGTAAATAACTCATGTTAAACCACATGTCTTACTTACCCTGAGTGTTTGCAGGTTGAACAGATAGCTTATGGCCACACTCACTGCAAAACTTGGCGTTCTTCTCCGAAATAGTATGGCGACAACCTGGGCACTTCATCTTGAGAAGTCAGTGTTCACTGCAAAAGAAAGTAACAGGTTTAACTGCTTTAATTGTACATGCAGGTCCCACCCTGTTGCAGAATCCTTTCACTTTCATTTCTGACACTCGAGGCCTCATGAAACAGCACTCAGTTGGCAAAACAACCGCCAACAGCAGAGCTGTTCCATTCACGGGCACGGACTTTGAGCAGACTTGCCCCACATACTCACCGATAAGCGTTTCGTTTAAGGCTGAAAGGTAAATAACCTCTATGCAGCAGAGTGGCAGTGAACCATTGCATGCCACCTATGGGCACGCCCACCTTTAGTCCCGCTAACTAACAGCGAATAATAAACTCACGCGGACAAAGAGAAGGAAACAGCGAGGTCTTACTGCGCTCTAAAATATACGCCGATGCTTTAGAAGAATAACACATATCAAAACAAGTGGAAAATACTCTAAAGTAGACAAATAAATAAACGTTCCTTTTCATGAAATACTTATCACATGCTGCTGCACCAAATAATTTTTTCTGAGGGTGCAAAGGCCAGTACAGTAGACAAGGTCGACAGTGCATTTAATAAGGCATGATGCTGTCTTATCTTTGCTACCTGTCTGTTAGATAGTAGACACACCTAAGTTATCAGCTACTGTTGAAAAAACGAAACACTTATAAAACAATGCTGTAAAAAAAAAAAAAAAACGACGTTATCATCGGCCTTGCTCATACCAACCCAATTTTGCACTTTGCTCCTGTTGTTATACATATTTTGTCTGTTCAGGTCAGGATTTAGCACATGTTCCTAAGATTTAGTGGCATGCTAGGAAATCAACATCAGGGCCTTTGAAATAAGGGGCAGACTCACTTTCCATATTTGAATATATTTAAATCTTGTGACTCTCAACTTTCTCTTTCACTGTGAAAATATGGGATGATTTATCTAATGAAAATGCTTGAAATAATCACTTCAACAAATACTTAATGTTGCAATATAGATATGCATGAACTAGAGGTCCAATGCGAAGAAAATCATATGGAGATAGGGTTGACAGTGTGAGTGTACACTAGGTAATTGTGTTTTTATTTGTACTCCAAACTACATCATTATTAAAGACAAATATTGTACTATCTGGATGGGGTGAGAGAGTAGTCATATTTCAATATATATACTCTATACTATAGATATATATCCTTCATTGTTGATTGATATATATATTCACTGTTTTGCATATTTAGTTTATCTTCTACTGCTGATATGTATAAAGTAAAGGTTTTTTATTTGTATTGTGTTTTATTAACCTCTAATTCATGTGCTATGTCTTAAAAAAATTCCATAATTGGGATCAATAAAGTATATAATTATCTCATCTTATCTTTACAATCTAAAATGTGGAACAATGTTCTTCAAACTTCACTTGAGTGATGCCTCCTGTTCACGAAAAGATCTTTGGCTCCAAAGTTCCGCCAATCACATGTTTGCTTCGTAAAGATCCTGCGTTGCGTCACTTCCTGTTTCGAAGCCAGCGTCAAAACGGATAATGCTAACTATATAAACACACAGCAGCACATCTTCTACCATTATCATTGTTTAATCACGACACGTGTATCAACTGCAGCAACAGTTATGTGTCACAATAAAGAAGTGTCCTTACTACATTTAACTTAGCTTACCCACTTGTTATTTAACAGCCTGTCTAATTAGCTGCGTGACAGTTTCGTTAGCCAACACTAGCCGGGTCTGTTTGTTTATCTGACTTAAATAACAGAAAAGCAATAGCATTTGCAGGTGAAAGGACAGTGTAATCTGAAATGACACCACATTTGATCACATCCTTAGTTAGAAATGTCCAGTGACAGCGAGGTCTGATAGCTACTTTAGCTAATAGGACATTACGTTTATTTCTTGTTTGTCATCAAATGAAATATGACGTCTTGACATGTAGTTTTCTATAAAGCAGTAAGAACGTTGTTAGCAGTCCTACCTGAGCTGGATGCGTCGCGAGCTTTCTTCTGTTTTTTAAAGGAAACCCTCAGGAGTCATATCTGCTGTAGATGCACCGACAGAGTCCCAAGTCTACTGTCGTTTCATTTCCGCATGTGCTATAAAGTTTCGTTTTCTTGGAAATGGGCGTCAGCTAATAATGTTTCTGAATTACTCATATCAGTATTTTTAATTATGGGAAGGAGGCCAGAGCAAATGTGCATGCACATGTGTGCAAGGTTACTTATAAGGACTCTGACCCAATTCAATAATTCTAATGTTGATACATAAACAAGTACGCCTTTGCTACTTTTTGCTCCTTTTTAACAAAGGAACAGACTAAATATCTGATTATTGCACAATCAAAGAGGTAATTATGCGATCCTATTATGAATGGACAATGGAAAGCATGGTTGGCTGATATGGAGTCATGAGCCATCAAGTGATTAAGTTACATATTTGTTTGGGAGATTGTGTGATTTCTTTAAGAAGATAAAAAGGTTTCTTAAGACACTATGGTTCATATATTGTCAAGTCTGTAGTGCTCTCATTAGAAAACCTTTGGTGACATGTTTTTGACGTCCAGTCATGTATACTTTTTGATGCATTTAAAATGATACATTTTGAGTTTTGCCTACCTTTCTCCTAAACTAGGATTGTTCCAAGGATATTGTTACCCAACCATGCATGCATTTTTGTCTTAAACTCTGTTCAGTGCATTCACTATATGGTCACAAAGCATTAAGGCTCATATAGAAAGGCTGTATGTGGCTGTGTGTGTGTGTGTGTGGAGATGTTTTCCATCTGCAGGATGAACATAATACACTCATACCCATTCATTTCCTATGGCGGTCAATTCTGACCGAAAACATCATGGGTGTTTCACTGTTGAATAAATCACTCAAAATTCAATGCAAGTGGTGATCATCAAGTTTATATGTTCAGAGGCCTAGTGTGGAGGATAACATAAGGTATTGAGGCAATTGGATGAAAAACACAATATGTATGATTAAAACAAAAGTAATTCGGTCACTTTTGACCCGAAACGCAAGAGAAGGGTTAAGAGCATCTGTGTGTCAAGCACAATGTCTTGAACAAGTTCCTGTGTTTGTTCCCTGTTCCACAATGAGTTCCTGATTTCCTCAGTTATATCTGTCCTTGACCCACAATGAGTTCCTGCTTTCCTCACTTCTAACTGTCTTTGACCCACAATGAGTTCCTGCTTTCCTCACTTCCATCTGTCTTTAACAAGTTCCTGTCTTTAACCAGTTCCTGATTTACTATATTAGCAATGTACAGTTTCTGTTCCTCTGGAAAGCAGGTGTAGCTTATCTCTCCATCCAGCCCTGCCACAGTGACAGGTGACGAAGTGTTGTTGAACTGTCAAGATCCTATAAAACCTACACACACACTTGCCTCTGTGTGCACTCTTCCAGAATACTCTGTACTCTGTGAGACCTGTACCTTCGAAGCTTCGAATAAAGAACCAGAAAGACAACTCTGTTTGTTTCACCAGTTTATTGATTGATCATTCTAATTGTATATCTCCACAGTATTGACTAGGTCTAAGATTTCCGTAACAGTAGCAGCACATGGACCTGGTGAGATACTACTTTATAATGACAGTATATGCACTCGGCATAGCAAGGTCAGTTTTGTTACATTGTCAATTTAAAACTTGATTTAGGCTGAAAGCACTTAACCAAGACAAAAAACTGGTCTTTAACTGCGTTTGTAGCTCTTGCATTATGCTCTTGCTGTGAGTAGGCTAATAAGAAACAAATATATACAAAGAAAATAATCTATTGTGGGCAGTGTTGTTTTACATTAAAAATCCATACTGGCATGTCCCAGTAAATTCTCATAAATGGACTCATGTATAACCTGCAGCTGTGCTGTGTTACATTAAGTCTTAAGACCATGTGATGCATCTGATATGACCTTTAATCCAGTTACAGTATGTGCTTTGCTTCTCTTCAGCTCTCACATGACACCCACTTTTCCACTGAGGGAGGTTGTGTGTTGCATGCTTTAGACGGCTCGCGGGATGACATTGCAAAGTGTAAAAATGACAGATTACATTGTGTATGTATTCATTTTTCTACACTAACTTAACCTTTTTCCTTAATAGTACCCACTTTAGTTTGTATGGTGGTGTCAGTTAAGGTGGTCAGGATTACTACACAAATGGGACAATGAATGTAAAATAATTCAATTTGTAAAAGACAGTTCATTAAATGTGAACATTTTCTGAATGTAGGCTACTTGTACTTTTTCTGCACCAAAACAAAGGGAACAATTTGAAGTTGTCGTTATTTATAGGTTATTATGCTATGGTTTTACTGGTACGACCCACTTGAGATACAATTTGGCTGTATGTGGCCCCTGAACTAAAATGAGTTTGACACCCCTGGTTTAGAAACTTTGAAGGCTCAACTTTTACCATTTAGGATGCTATACTCTTAAACTGTCAGCAGAGGGCAGACTAATCTGAAAGTCTGGGTGAGATGCAAAAGTGCAGATATATGAAAGTTTTAGTTTTTTCGGAAACTAGACCTCTCCTCTTCACCAAAGGGTTTAATACGTGGACGATCAAATCAAATCAAATCAGGTTTTATTTATAAAGCACATTTAAAAGCGATTTTTGGTCGAGCCAAAGTGCTGTACATGTAATAAAAACACAAACGACAATAAATTACAACAGATATATCTTAAAAAAAACAAAATAAGAATAAAACACACGGAAAAGTCAGGAGTCATGCTCCGCTCTAACTAGAAAGCCAGAGAGAAGAAGTGTGTTTTTAGTTTTGATTTAAAAACCCCTAGGGTCTGGGCCGACCTCACATGGAGGGGCAGAGTGTTCCAGAGCCTAGGGCCAGCTGCTGCGAAGGCTCGGTGCCCTCGGGTTTTTAGCCTGGTCTTGGGCACTACCAGCAGCAGCTGGTCAGCAGACCTTAAAGCTCTGGCTGGGGTGTAGCGCTGGAGCAGTTCAGTTATATAGGCCGGAGCCAGCCCATTTAGGGCTTTAAAAACAAATAAAAGGATTTTAAAATCAATTCTAAACCGAACTGGAAGCCAGTGTAGTGAGGCCAGAATAGGGGTGATGTGGTCGCGCTTTTTGTGACCAGTCAGCAAACGTGCAGCAGCGTTTTGGACTAGCTGTAAGCGTTTGATTGAGGCCTGGTCCATACCCACATACAGAGCGTTACAATAGTCCAGTCTCGAGGTTACAAAGGCGTTAATAACCCTTTCTAAGTCTTTAAAAGATAAATACGACTTGGTTTTGGCCAATAGTCTTATTTTAAAAAAGCAGGATTTTACTACGGTGCTGACCTGCTTGTCGAATTTAAAAGTGCTGGTGAAGGTCACTCCAAGGTTCATGACCGAGGGGAGGATGTTTTTTTTGATAGAGCCCAGAATATCAACCGGAGAGGCTGGAGGTTGTGGTCCAAAAAAGATGACCTCGGTCTTGCTCTCGTTGAGGTTGAGGAAGTTTTTGCTCAGCCAGGATTTTATCTCTGCTAAGCAGTCCATCAGCTGCTGTAGTGAGTGTGTGACATTTGCTTTGAGAGGCAGATAGATCTGTACATCGTCGGCGTAGCAGTGGAAGGGAATGTTATGTTTTGTGAGTATTGAACCTAGGGGCAATATG